AAACTGCTGGTCTAGTTAGAGAGACCAGCTTGGAACAGGCTCAGATAAGAAATTGCGGGGTGTGAACCAGGTGAGCTTGTGTGAAATGAGAGGAGAGGTGATGGAAGAAAGGGCTAGAAGGGTCATATCTTGAGAAGATCAGACCCGTCTGGATTTTACTTGTTCATCAGAAGACATTTCTTGATAATGAAATTTTAATTTTTATAATGATGTGTTATGAAAGGAATACATGCCCACTTATGTTAGAAAGTAGAGAGGAGAAAAGAGCATCATTTTGAGTGTTCCACTGGTCAAGGCAATCTCTATTGCTATCTCGGTTAATCACTCGTGGCTAAGGGAGGTGGTGTGGTGCGGTGGTTAAGGAACCAACCCTGGAGTCAGGAGCTGGGGGTTTGAATCCTGACTCTGCCCTTTAACTTTCCTGTTTTCTTATCTGTAAAATGAAGGTGAGATAGATAGTATCTCTCTCATCAGGTTGTTTCCAGAATTAAGTAAGTCAATTCATATAAAGTGCTTAGAATGGGCCATAATTAGCACTTAATAAATATGGGCTTTAATAACCTCTTCTTCCAATCACTCCTCAGTGCCTCACTATTTTCTGTATTTGCTTACTTGTAACCTTCATATAGATACACATATAATTTTATATCCTGCTTCTTTCTCTTAATATTATTACATAAATATTTTTAATACTATTATAAACTGTTCATAAGCATTTTAAATGCCTAAGTAATATTCCACTTGGGTATATGACCCACACTTTAGATAACTATTTCCTTATGATGGGACATTTAGTTTATTTCCAATTTTCTGTGGTTAGAGTTGAGTGGGCTTCAGTGTGGTTCAGTGGCTATTTATTGAGCACATAACTCTTGATCCCACCCTGCTTGGTGTGGAGGGCACAGAGATAAATAAGACAAGCTTGCTGGCCTGTAGGAGCACACAGACATACGTTTAGGATTATAATTGGCCTCAGTTTGGAGAACAGATTGGAAATGAAGAATCCAGAGAAAGCCTTTAGGAGGCAGATAGTAGAAGGGCTGACGGAACTGACAGTGGGAGTGAGGAGAGGATGGTGGGGGATGAGCCGGTCAAATGGTCAGAACCCGGCTGCTGGCTGTTGTAGCTTGTGAGTAGATTCAGTGAGAGAAGGCAAAGAGTCAAAGAGACCATGATTTGAACTTCAGGAGCTAAGGGGGAGGGGGGGAAGGGGATGCTAAAATGAAGTAGTTCAGAGTTTGGGCTTTGATGCCCAAAGTGAAAGTGTTACTCAGTCATGTCCGACTCTTTGCGACCCCACCGACTATAGCCTGCCAGGCTCCTCTGTCCATGGAGTTCTCCGGGTAAGAATGCTGGAGTGGGTTGCCATTTTCTTCTGCAGGGGCGTCTTCCAGACCCAGGGATCGAACCTGGGCCTCCTGCATTGCAAGAGAATTCTTTACTGTCTGAGTCACGGGGGAAACCCAGATGGAGCTTTAAATTCAAGCCTGGCACTATCATATATGACCTGTGTGATCTTGATCAAGCTACTTAAATTTTCTAAGCCTCAGTTTCCCCATCTGTAAAGTGGGGATACTAATGAATCTTCCTGGAAGCATGGTGATCAAGTCAGATTATATATGAAAAGTATATAACAGACATGATGTATTGGGAATAATCGGAAGAGTCCTGTGGCACATCAGTACCACTCTAAGCGTGTGTGTGCTCAGTCATGTCCGACTCTTTGCGACCCCACGGACTGTAGTCCACCAGACTCCTCTGTCCATGGGATTTTCCCAGAAAGAATACCACTCTAAATACTTTGTATTTAGTGTATTAAGGTGTATTAATTCACCTTAGTGCTCACAGCATCCCTACAGGAGAGGTGCTCTTAGCATCTCAGTTCTATAGATGAGGAAGAAGGCTCGGGGAGTTTGGGTAACTTGCTCAAGTCTCACAGCTAGTCAGCAAGTGACCCAGCCAAGACTCATACTCAGATAGGCTTACATCAGAGCCCATGCTCTTAAGGACTGTGCTTTCTCTCTCTCTGCCTCCCTCTGTCCATGCTTAGTGCAGGACACCAGAGGCAACACCCTGCGGCAACACCCAGCAGGTGTTTGGAACTTGTTTTAAACCCAGGACATCTGTCAGAGTGTAGGATCCCCTGGGCAGAGATGAGTGGAGGCCGCAGGTAAGGATGAGATTGCCCAGGGAGAGCGAGGCATGGACAAAATCTAAATTTAGTGAGTAGCAGAGGGAAGAGGAGTTGGCCAAGGAAGTGAGAAACACCTGTCAGAAAAGCAGATGAGAATCAGGACCAGAAGGTATCATGAAATTCAAAAGAACAAATGTAATTGGTAGCATCACATGCTGCAAAAGAGAGATAAGAACTGCTAAGAGGTCCTTGGTAACCGTGGGGAAACAGGTACAGCAGAATGACGAGGCGTGGGGACCTGGACTGTAAGAAGCTGAACAGAAATGGGCGAAGTGGCTGCAAGGAGGAGGGCAGACATGGAAGGTGGCTGCGAGCAAGTGGGACGGTCACAGCAGACTTGAATTCCAACACTGACTCTGACCTTTATCAGGTGTGTGACTTTATGGGTGTTGCTTAACATCCCTCAGACGCTGTTTCCTTATTGTTAAAGTCAGGAACTGAGCTTCAGCCCTGGGGCTGCTGGAATTTGATGGAATCTGATGGCCAGTGAACTCAGAGCTCCTCCCTGGCAGTAAGAGTTGAATTGGCTGAGATCACGTGCTCTAACTTCCGTGGAAGTAGCTTGAACTTTGATGAGAGTTCTCCAAAGGTAAATCTTGCCCTGGACTTCCCTGGTGGTCCAGTGGCTGAGACTCCATGCTCCTAATGCAGGGGGCCTGGGTTCCATTCCTAGTCAGGGAACTAGGAATGCCACATGCCACAGCTAAAGATCCTGCATGCTGCAATGAAGATCGAAGATCCCACGTGCTGCAACTAAGACCCAGTGCACTTGGATAAAATAAAATAAATACTTTAAAAAAACAATGGTAAAGCGTGCCCATAGCTATTCTGTCTCTGGGGATGGTTCTGACAGTACTGATGAGCCCCCCTTGGGCACCCACCGCCCACAGCCTGTCCGTCAGCTGAGATCTGTGATGTTGTATTGATTGGACCCCTGCCTGCGCCTCAGGCTGAGAAAAGACCCCTCCACTGATCTGTTGTTTGTATGATAAACCATGGCACCAGGATTTGAACCCTGGTGCTCTACCCCCCCCCCCCTCGTTCCCCATGAGAGCCAGGACTTGGCTGTGTGGGCCAGTGGTTAGGACTCTGCTTTAGGAGAGAGAGCTTCCAGGTTGCAGGTGTGGCTTTGCAGTTGACTCCACGAGGATTCTTGGGCTGATTCCTTAACCTCAGTGTGCTGTGACGCTTTTTAAATTTTTGTTTATTTATTTTTGGCTGCACTGAGTTTTCATCGCTGTGCATAGGCTTTCTCTAGTCATGTCGAGCGAGGGCTAACCTCCAGTTGTGGTGTGCGAGCTTCTCATTCTGGTGGCTCCTCTTGTGGCACGGGCTCAGTTGTTGCGCCTCATGGGCCTAGTTGCCCCAGGGAATCTGGGATCTTCCTGGACCAGGGATCGAACCCGTGTCCTCTGCACTTGCAGGCGGATTCTTCTTCACTGGACCACCAGGGAAGTCCCTGCCCTGACTCTTGATGTTGAGTAGGAGGAAAATGTGTCCAGAGTCAGGCTTTGAGTTTTGTGGGGAAGGACGTCTTACAGTACAGCTGGGAATCATGGGGCATAATCTGAGGGGCGGCTCTTCGGTTCTCATATCACTGTGTGTGTCTTGAGAATTGTCCTACATTCTCTGTCCATCTGTTTTATCCTTTTTCCCTCACTTCCTTTCTCAATCTATAGCATTTTAAAATCTTACATTCTCTCCTCTTCTGACCACGTGACTCATCCACCCAGTCATTCATTCAACAAACTTGAACTAGGCCCCTAGAAAAAACTGGAGACAAGGAAGCGTCAAATAGGGATTGAGAGATAAATAAGGTTCAGCTCTGCCTTAAAGGGGTTTGAAATCTAGTGAAAGGAGTAACACATCTAAACAGCAAACTGAAATTGACCCATTTACAAGTGTCTTAGAACCAGGGGACAATCCATGGGCCTTGGAGCCCCGGGGAGGATGAATTCCACGTAAAGGAGATAGGGAGGGGTAAGAAAGAGGTGGCATTTGAGATGCTCCTTGACATGTGAGTGAGTGGACATCCAGGGGAGAGGAGTGAAGGGTGTTTCCCCCGGGAGAGGTATAAGGTCATAGAGCGTGCTGGTTGATCAGGAAAGCACCTGTTGGATTCAGGGAAGGTGGGGGGGCGGGTTGGGTCAGGCTACAGGCCGGGTGAAACGGGAGTGGCGTTGAAAGATGGGGCTCCTCTCTGCCACCCTCTCTTGTTCTTCTGCTCTCTCTCCTGATCCCCTTAACCTTCATGGAGCCACTTTCTTCTCTCTGCCTGCAGCATCCTCACTGTCTTCCATCTCTCTGCTTGTCTGCCTTTCCTCCTCTCTAGACTCTCTTCCAGGGAGGTGGGGAGTAATAGATTGGACGCCGGCTGGCTGTTCTGTGAACTGAGCCCTCGGCCCCTGCAGCAGCCGTGTCCGGGCTCCCAGCACCCATCCTGCAGGCCAGGCCAGGGGAGGGCGGGGGAGCGACGTGCAGGTTTCCACCATGCACTTCCGTCCTGCGGTGACAGCCCAGACAATTTATACATCCTGTTGGCGGAGGCCATGTGTTGAAATAACCTAGGTCATTTCCTCACTTAATACCATCCATAAACTCTAATAAAAATGTCCAGGAGCCCAGTGGTCCAGGGGAGGAGAGGCGCTGGGCTTGGAAGGGTGGGAGGGGGACCAGGATGTGGGTGGGTGGGAGGTGAGGGGCCCTAGGGGCAGATCAGAGGGCTTGAGGCTGAAGCCCACGCCCCGCCTGATGAGCGCCTTGTTCCCTTTCCTGCTCCCCTCCTCTGTCCTGCTGCTGGCTGCAGTGTGTCAGATTCTCCCCAAGGGCGTGGTCGCTGTCCTGGGACCATCCTCCAGCCCAGCCTCCAGCTCCATCATCAGCAACATCTGTGGGGAGAAGGAGGTGAGTGCTGGGCCGGGGTGGGGGCCCTCCCTGTGGGCTGGCAGCCTGTGCCTCGAGCTCAGAGAGATCCTGGACTCCTAAGGGTGGGCGGTGTCACTAATAACAACCATACAAATAACACAAGTGGGCCTTGGTAGGCACTTACTTTTTTCGGTTTGTGTGGATGGAGGGGACTCAGAGGAAAAGTTTCATAACAAGGCACTCAAGCTGAGCTCTTCCGAGTCTTGGGGCCCTGGGGCGGGCAGGGCAGAGGGGGTCCCTTGGTGGCTGAGGGTAGAAGGAGAGGCCGCGGAGGGTTGTCCAGGGGAGGCTGAGAGGGCTAAAGTCTGAGCCCCACAGGAACGCTCCAGAATATCTGTTTAGATATTGGGATCCTGGGGAGGAATGCCTTTGGGGCCAAGGCCTTGCTACATTTGGGGGCTTCCCTGGTGGTTCAGACGGTAAAGAATTTGCCTACGATGCAGGACATCCAGGTTTGATCCTTGACTCGGAAGGACCCCCTGAAGAAGGGAATGGCAACCCACTCCAGTATTTTTGCCTGGAGAATCCCATGGACGGAGGAGCCTAGTGGGCTATAGTCCATGAGTCACAGAGAGTCAGACACAATGGAGTGACTAACAGTTCCACTTGCTTCATTTTAGTGCTGAAATGAAGTTTGAAAACTTACTTCTATTTCATAAGTTCTCTAGAAAAGGGATTTTATTTTGCTTTCTTCTTCATTCACCAATTCCAATGCTTATTTCTCTAAAGTGTTAGGTCCATTCCCTCTAGTTCTCATTCCCCAGGAGATAAAAATGCTTGGTTCTTAGGGAAAAGACAGGGCAAAGCTTTGGACAGTATTTGCACACTAAATCTTTATTCTAAAAAAGAAAATGGAAACTTTTAAAATGAGAATTATTTACACCTACATTAAAATCTTAATGAGTAAAATAATGTAAAAGAGAGAAAAAGAAGATGCTTGGGCATGAGTTTCTGAGAGAGGGCTTGCTCCCTGTTCCAACAACTCTCTCCCTCCTTTTCCCAAAGGAGAAAACAAACGAACCTTCAGCGATTCTACTGCTGGAAACTTTCCTAGTCCATCTTGGAATCAATCAATCCTTCCCCTTCAGATATAGTCCTGGGAGATGATGGCAAAGTGACACTGTAGCCTTCCAAAGGACTTCTAGACAGGTCATTTGGGGACAGATGGACTTGATGGTCAGGAGCTGGGGAGGGGGCAGAGCAGAGGGACTGGGGAATGGAAGGGTCAGACTTGCACCTGTTATAGGAGCCTGGAGGCTCAGACTTCTGGAAGCCTTAGCCTTGGGAGGGTCCAGTTCTTACAGCAGGACGAGGCACCTGCTTTGTGAGTTGGCCTCGCGGGGACAGTGGAGCCGCAGACTGGCCTCTGCCCACCCCAAGGGGCTCTCTGGAAGCCTTGATGCCTGCATCATCCCTTGATGCCTGCACTTCTCTTACGATCAGAGGGCTCGGTGAGTCCCCAAGGCTTTGAGAAGAATATTAAATCTTCTCTGTGTTATGAGCCCGCTCTAAGAACTGTTACCAGCACAGTAGAATGCCCTGTGGTCCCAGCCCCAGTCCTGCAAACGGGTCTTTCTTACCACTCCCTATAGGTGGAGCCCCTGAGCTTCATGCCGGAGGTAAGGTTTCGGAATACTCCCCATCCCTCCTCTCAGTCATCCTGAAAGAGGACTCCTGTGCCAGCCCAGGCCAAAAAAAGAGCTTCTGTCCCACCGCAGTCCCTTCCAGCATCTCACAGCCCTCAGCTCCCGTGAGCTGGACCTGATGTTTTCTCACCGGCTCCAAGTAACAGCTCACATCTATGGCAGGCTGTTACTTCCCGCTCGCTGTGATCTTCACCAAGTGAGGTTGCCAAGCTACCCATTGTCTCTTGTCTTTTCTCTCTCTCTTTTTTTCTCCCCTCTCCCTCCTCCTCAGCACTTTCATCACTGTCCCCTGAAGTCATCTCCCCTCTCCCCAGTCTCCACTCCAGAATGGCTTCCTTTTGGGGTTCAGTGGTTATTTTATCTTGGTGAACACATCCTTTAACCCTGCTTGGCATTTCAGGCCGGAGGCAGAGACCCCGAGTTGCACCCATCTTCCCATCCCACTGCCCGGTACCCCGTGCCATTGACCAGCCAGACAGGCTGTCCTGCCCAGGGAACCGCCAGACAGTTACCCCTCATCTGTCTGGTCATATTCCTTTCAGAGCAACCTTTCCTTTCCATTCAGATTATGCATTTCTTTTAATATTTTATGAGGCTGAACTGCCTTACACTGATTCCCCTCAGCTTCAGGAAAAAGAAATGGAGTCCTCACTGAGGAGTTCATCCCTTTAAATGCTGCTAACATCCCTGCAGGGCTGGCGGCTTTCTGCCTCGCTGCCCTTCCCCTCCATGCTGCTCACCTCTTCTCCCAATCCACACCTCCATGGTGATGTCCTAGGATGCATTTGTAATTGCAGATCAATTACCAATTGATTTCTGTCCTAGAGAGAGTCAGCAGGTCTGGTCTGGCCATCCCCACCTGGACCCATCAGAGTGCCTGGCTGCTTCCACAGCAGCATTTAAGATGCCGGACTGTGGGAGCCTTCCCACCAGCCCCTTCCTAGGGACACCCCTCGGCCCCCGCCCCCTGTACAAACAGCCCCAAGAGCTTGTCCAGGAGTTCCTAGATTTGGGAAGAAAGGGGAAAGGGAAGGAGAAAAGGCATTGCCTTTATCCCACATCTTAGGCACTCAGCTAGTACATGCTTCACACACAGGGTCTCAATTTATTCTCCCAAAGCTCAAGAAATACCTGTTGTTTCTCCGTGTGAATGAAACCTAGAGAGGTTAAGCAGTTTGCCCTAAATCACACAGCAGAACCTGATGCAAACCCAAACTCGAAAACTCTGTCTCCTGAGCCTTCACTTTCCTGAGTCTTTTCCTGCTCCATCTCTGGGATCCGTAGATCCATGGGAATCACTAACGGTGCTTTCTGTGGAGGGTAAGTTAGCTGCTGGTGGGACCCGGTAGGCTGGATGGCCACACAGGGAGGGCCTTGGGCAGCGATGCTCAAATGTGTGAGCGAGCCAGCCTGGCTACCCTGCCCAGCCCTGGCCTCCAGCTTACCCCTCTGTGAACTTTTTTCCATTCACAGTTCATTTGTGATTCATTTAAGATGGATTGTAAGGGTTGCAAAATATCGGTGGGAAGAAAGACCCCTTATGACACACCCCAGGTCAATGTCACTCTTCAACATCTGTCATTACTCATCAGGCTCGCTCCCCAGTGCTATGCTTTTCAGTCTCTGCCGGAAAATATTGGTTGCCTTCTCTCTATGGTTAAAGGGCTAATCCTAGTTGAATTTAGGAATTTTCTCCCTAGTTTCTGCTAAATCTCGACCCTCCCCTCATCCCAGTCTCAGGGGAGCTCTGGTCTCTGGCTGACTTCTTCTAGAAGTGTAAAAGGATAAGTTAGCAGATTTTTCCAGAGACCATGTCAACATCATCCCAGACTTTGGGCCAGCCCAGACAGAGACAATTTCTGCAATCGTGCCTGAATAACCCAGTCTGGGAACCAACCAATTTACTATCGGGGAGTTCCTCTTGCTGTCTACCCTCAGTCTTGCTCACTTTCACGTTAGTTCAAATGCGCGCTCATAGTAACCTGGCCCTTACACTGGGCACCCTAAGTGAGCTTGAGGGATGAGGTTTCAGCCCCATCTTTGGTAGATATCTGGACAGCCTTTAGCTCTTCTGGGTACCAGGGTGACAGAATGCAATCAAGGTGGATGGCAGCTTATTACATTTTAACTTTCCTATTACCTACCCAATAGCCTAAGCCGCCAATAAAGCAGCCATCACAGCCTGTTAATATCTATTTCTGGGAGAACAGGGGCAGAAGGCAGGGGCAGTGCCTCCCGGAAATGTCAGTAATAGGTGCAGAGGGAACCTGACACTGTCCTAATGAAGCCAAAGCAGGTATTTATTTACCTGGCTCCATTCAGAGGCTCTCTAGTCAGTTTCCCAGCATGCAGCACTTGTCATCCTCACGTGTGTCTTCAGAGGAACACATCCCAGGCTTTACCCTAGAAATTTTGTCCGGAGCTGGTTTATACATCTGTTGGCTAGGCTGGGTTGAAGGGGCCCCTTGGTTAGTCCCCAGGGCAATATTTTTCTCTTTTTGCCATCTCTGCTCTGATTCATTAACTACAAATAATATACGGATTTTGCCTTCAAGAGCCCTTTGTCTCACTGCCTAGCAGGAGGCAGTTCCTCTGAAAATAAAGACCTATTGTTTTGCCTTCTTAAGGTCACAGAACTCCGCTGCACGGTCCACAGTCTGTTTATGCACGTCTCTGGCTGCACGGTTTCCCATCCTGGGTCTCGAGTGTTGTCAGAGATGCCATCTCATCTTCCTCCTATGGCGTGGGTGCCCTGACTCCCACAAGCCCCATCTCTTACCAGGCAAAGGTCGCTCATGGAAGAAACTGCACTCTGCAGCCTTATCTCACCCGTCCCTCTTTTCTTTCTCTCTCACTTGTTCTCCGATCTTCCTCGTTGCCTGTTTTTTTTTTTTCGCTCCTGCTCCCAGGTCCCTCATTTCAAAGTGGCCCCAGAGGAGTTTATCAAGTTCCAGTTCCAGAGATTCACAACCCTGAACCTCCACCCCAGCAACACTGACATCAGCGTGGCTGTGGCTGGGGTCTTGAACTTCTTCAACTGCACCACCGCCTGCCTCATCTGTGCCAAAGCAGAATGTAAGTTTCCCCAGGCTGGCTGCGCCCAGACGGTCAGGTCCTGTCTGTGTCAACCCGACTGGTTTGCCCCTCCCTGGCTGGAGACCACACCCCGCAGGGGAGGGCTCTCTCTGATCTTAGAGGCACCAGAGGATTCGGGCCTTGCTGGGTGTCCTTGGCTGTTTGTCCGTGTGTGTATGTGAAAGAGAGAGCAGTCCAGGGGCCCCCCTTTGTCAGAAACTCCCCGGGCATGGGCCGAACAGCGACGAGCTCGTTTACAGGGAGACTGGCCAACCGCCAAGACTTTCTGCATCTGAGAATGCAATTCCCACATTTTCAGCCTCATTGTTAAGGAGATACAAAGAGAGAGAGGGAAAATATAAAATTGGATGCATTTGTATTTGATGGGTTGAAGAGCTTCTTTCCTTGGAGAGCAGGTTTTGCTGATGGAACAAGGTTCAAGGTCAATTCCTGGTGAAGTTCTTTTTTTTTTTCTTACAGATGCAGGTTTTAGAAATGTGTTTTCTCTGACTCTCAATTTGCGACATAAATTTAGTGTTTATGAGATTTAGCTAATTTAAGCCAGCACATTCCAGCAAATTGTGCATCTGTGTGCTCCCCGTGACAGCTGTGCACCCACATGCAGTCAGGCAGGTGCTGGCCACTGGCTCCCACTGGGGCCCAGAGTGCAAGCCCCCGGCATCTGTGTCCTGTGCAGGTTTTAGCGTGCGGGTCTTGGTGGGCTGCACGGGCAAAGGTGCACCATTCCTGTTCGGCCCTCTATGGCTTCTCAGAACCGCTCGGTGTGGTAAGTCCTTCCTCCAACTTGAAATGCCCACAGCATCTGAAAACAAAAGCCCCCTCTCTGCCAAGGGCCAGACCCATTTTTTATGGGACCTTTGCACCTCACTGCCCCCACTTATACATTCAATCATTTATTTAATACAAAATGAGTACTTGCTCAGTGATACCCAAGAAACAAAGTAACTGAGTCCCAGCTATGCATGCTTTTCAAACATATATATATATATTGTTTTATTTGGCTGTGGCGGGTCTTAGTTGTGGCAGGTAGGCTGTCTAGTTGCGGTTCATGGGCTTCTTTGTAGTTGTGGCGGGCAGGCTCAGTAGTTGTGGCACGGGCTTAGTTGCCCCACAGCATGTAAGATCTTAGTTCCCCAACTAGGGATCAAACTTGCATCCCCTGCATTGGAAGGTGAGTTCTTAGCCACTAGACCACCAGGAAAGTCCCTATGCATTTTTTTTATGCTTTATTTAATTATTCAACAACTCGGAGGTTTTGGAAATGTTGGAATGTCCCATTTTAAAATTCAATACACTTTAAAGTCCAGTTTCTTAGTCTCTCTAGCCACACTTCAAGTGCTCAAAAACCACATGTGAACAGTGCAGTGGAGAATACTTCCATCCTCACAAAAAGTTCTGTTGGACAGCATTGCTTTAGATGATAAGGTTTTGTGGACAAAGCATTTTGTAGCCCCCAAAAGAGAGAGAAATGTTTAGATAACACTTCATTCTATCTCTCCCTCATGGAGAATTTCAGCACACATTACCATGGGCACTCTGAGTTGTCCTGTGGCCAAAACAGCTATTTACCTCAGCATCTTCCAAATAGGTTTGATCATATGCCCCCAAAAGGATGCTGATCTAAAAGCCCACACAGGATGCTAGTATTCGATGGAACACAGTTGGGATACATTGCATTCCACCAGGTGGCCTTCCTCGCGTGGCATCTTTACACCACTGAAAGGTTTAACAGAATCAAAGATTCTCCCCGGGAAATTCCTGCCACCAGCCCACTCAGGCAGGACTGAACTGGCCTACCCCACGCACCCAGCGGGGATGCTGAAGGACAGGGCAGGCTATAAATATGGCCAGGCAAAGGTTGCTCTGCAGCTCTTGTCTGTGCTGGGTTGCAGTGTCTCACCAACCTGACAGGAAGTCCTTTCTTGTGTCTAGCCACAGTCCGTCTTGCTTTAAAGCTGAGCCCTGTTTCCTCTGCTTCAGCTCTTACTGGGTTTGGGGACGTGAGTTGCTCAGATGTTGGTTAAGCACCTGCCGTGTGCCGAGCACTATGCTAGATATGGTTGCCTCCTAGCCCAGGGCGCTTTCCATTGGAATTGACATTCTCTGACATTCAAACAGTTCCTTGCAGATTGCAAAGCACTTTCACTTATGTTTCCCCACTTTACCTCCCTCTTTCTCAGTCATTCCGAGCTGAGCAAAGAGTCTGGGAGCTGCTAAGTGATTTGACTTAAGGTCACACAGCTGGTACGTGACGAATCTGAGCAGGGGCTTCCTCCTCTCTGGCCCCTCCCACCCTCCTGGGCTGTGCCAGGCTCAGGAGGGCTCAGGGTGGGCTCTGCAGGGCAGGCACAGTGTCCTTGGCAGGGCAGAGATCTCTCTGGAACAGTGCAGCCCCTTCCTCCCTCGAGTGGGTGCAAGATGGCTGAGCACAGACAGCAATCCTGGAGAGGATGAGTCTGCTCAGGTGCTGGCGAGGCCGGCCCAGAGCCCAGGCGGGACTCATCAACCACACAGTGCCGCCTCTGCTCCGAGGAGAAGAACTCATCTCTGGAGTCTGCTGAGTGACTGGCCCCACCTCCCAGAGGCGGAAGGAAAGTGGGGCAGAGCAGAAGTTCAAGGGCAAAGAGGATTAAAAATCTAATCAAAGGATGAAGAAATGAGGGGCTGAAGGGAAACGCAGCTCAGAGCTTGGGAGGAGACACTCTTCCATCTGCCTTATTAATGCAGGGCCGAGAGACGCTGCAAGTCAAATTAGGAACAGGAATCTAATTCTGTTTTCCTAGCATCAAAATTAGGCATAACAGAGATCATTCCCTGGGGAATCACGCCGCTTACGCTCCTTCTTCCCCAAAGTAGATTTTTAATAAGCAGGGTTTGGACCAAGTACAGTTGTATTGTGGATTGCATTATTTTTCTTTAATGGGAAAAAAAATCAGAACATCTGCAAGTATCTAGTGCTAGTGAGCTTGAGGGAGGCAAGGTGAGGAGCCCAGGCGTGGCTGTCCCCGTCACCCCCACAGGGTTGGGGGAGTTTGCTGTTAGGAGACTTTCAACAAAAGTTGGGGTTCCCCACCGTGGTCTCTGAGTCCCCTTTGGTGAGATCTCCCAGCCCTGCCGCAGAGTTACCTTTTGAGACCCTCAGGCTGGACCCAGAGACTCTTCATTCAGTTCAGTTCAGTTCAGTTCAGTTGTTAAGTTGTGTCCGACTCTTTGCAATCCCATAGACTGTAGCACACTAGGTTTTCCTGTCCTTCACTATCTCCCAGAATTTGCTCAAACTCATGTCTGTTGAGTCGGTGATGCCATCCAATAATCTCATCCTCTGTCACCCTCTTCTCCTGCCCTCAGTCTTTCCCAGCATCAGGGTCTTTTCCAATGAATCGGTTCTTTGCATCAGGTGGCCAGAGTATTGGAGCTTCAGCTTCAGCATCAGTTCTTCCAATGAATGTTCTGGGTTGACTCTTCATGGTCACAAGGATAATATGCTGTGCATTTTCCTGGTGTTGCTATACATAGCTCAAATCATCTTTTTGTTTGTTTTTTGTGCTTGCTTTGGCATTTCTAAGTATTTTAATGTCCTTTTTTGTGTGTGTGGCTACAAGTTCTGGGCCCCTACACCCTCTGCCACTTATGTACCACCTCTGTAACCCAGACTCAGAAGCCTGGGTTTGGACCTTGCTCGGCCTGTGGGTTCTGAGCTCTGCCCTGCATCTCTCCTGTTCCAGACTTTAGTCTGTGTGCAGTGCATTCGTGTTCAGTTGTATCCGGCTCTTTGGGACCCTCTGGACTGTAGCCCACCAGGCTCCTCTGTCCATGGGATTCTCCAGCCAAGAATACTGGAGTGGGTTGCCATTTCCTGCTCCAGGGGATCTTCCCAACCCAGGGACCGAACCCTTGTCTCCTGCAGCTCCTGCATTGCAGGTGGATTCTTTACCGCTGAGCCACCTGGGCCGACCTGTTTGGTCTCTACCCAGGAATAATGATGATACCTGCTTTCTGGGCCATTGTGGGGATAAATCCACAGTATGTGAAGAAGCTTAGGAAACAACAAAAGCAGGTCTCAGGTCAGAGATGCCTGCTGGGCCCCAGCAATTAATAAACAAACAGGGACATCCCTGGGGTTCCAGTGTTTAAGACTCTGCATCTCCATCCACTGCAGGAGGCTCAGGGTTCAGTCCTTGACCAGAGAACTAAGATCCCACATGCCGTGCAGTGCGGCCAAGAAAATTAAAAAACAACAGCAACATAACAACAAAGAACTAACCCAATCAAACAAACACCCTGGAGTAACTGAGGGGAGTCCCCAGGTGAGGTTTTCCATCCTTGCTGTCAGAGAAGGGGGCAGCCTGGATGGCCAAGCAGGGCAGCAGATGGTCCTCCTGGGAGCAAGAAGCCTCCATCCCCTCTCTGTCTCCTCCTCTGACCCCCATGGTCTCACCGTTTCTGTCTTTTCTTGGGGCCAGGTCTAGGTGTGGGATGGGACAAAACTGAAAGGTGGGTAAAATAAGCCCACTATTCAAGCATTTGAACTTGTTCCATGCCCCTGCCCCTCTCGGGACACCTCGGACCCTCATCCCTCTCGCTCCATCAGAATCTGCTCCCTGGAAATCTAGGGCGTGAAGACAGCACAGCTGAGGCACGTGCACCTGTCAGGGGGAGGGGAGTGGCCACGCACCAGGTTTTGGTGCTCTGGGCAGAGTGGTGGGTTCATCACCTCCCTGTATCCTCACCACCATCCTATAGTCGATGTTATATCCGCTGCCGCTCACAAGAGTTTAAAGTGAAAGTGAGAATGGGCTTCCCTGGTGGTTCAGCTGGTAAAGTGTCTGCCTGCAATGCAGGAGACCCAGGTTTGTTCCCTGGGTCAGGAAGACCCTCTGGATTCCCCAGAAGGGAATAGCTACCCACTCCAGTATTCTTACCTGAAGAATCCCATGGACAAAGGAGCCTGGCAGGCTACAGTTCATGGGGTCTCAAAG